ACTTGAGAATGTGGGGTGAAATTTTGTGTCGCTATTTTTAGAAATATAAATTTATCGCATTGTGGCAACACCGTTATAATTAAAGTATTCCAATTTTAACTCGTACCAGAAATATTAGCTCGTCTAAGAGGCTAAAGAAATGTAGCAAGACTTTAAGGCTGTAACAGATATCTTAAAATACGCGATGACGTTATTGCAACATTATTTTTCACATAGGAAGAGATTCTTATGTAATAAATATAAGAGTAACAAGAGCGAGCAGGCTTGTTCTTAGATAGTTATCAATTGAATGCATTTGATTAACGCGGCGTTTCCTGTAGTATCTGGCAATAATTTCGATATGATCTCTTCTATCGATTCGATCTCCGTCATTCACCAGATAACGCGATCCGTATAATCCTTTCTCCGGGTTATAACTCGGGAAAGAGAGAGAGACGTTGTCGTAAGGAAATGAGCATCTTTCGATGCTCCGTAAAAGCGCGATCGAATAAAAAACGTGTAGGTATGCGAGACACGAAGCTAGTGGACCAAGATCTGGACATTCGATCGGATCTTTTAACCACGCGAACGTAAGGACGATCCAAGCATAGTTACGCCAGTACTGGTTCTCGGGTAATCGAGACTCGTTATACTTTTTTGCCAGCTGGTTACTTCCAGACCAGACCGTGCTTGGATACTTGTCTTTTTGAGATATTAGTTGTTCAGGAATCTAGGCTCTCTTCTTTCTCGCCGAAATCTCTTGTCCAGCTACGAATTAGAAATAACAGAAAATTTCATCGGCCATTCGTCTATCGGAATTATTTGATCGATAAGAGCTGCATAGAGTGGCGAATCGGTCAAGAATTTGGCGTATTCGTGTCCCTGGCGGAATTGGAACGGTTCAATTTCATCGTTTAATCCCCGGAAACGGATTTATGTGGTTCTCGACCCGAAGCCATCGGCCACATAGCGACTCTATTTTCAGTCGGAGTTTGTTCGCGATCGGGCCAGAAACTGCAGGACCTATATCGCGACAAGGCGTGTACTCGAATCAAGGAAGTGAAGTTTCCATTATCGATTACGTGTCTTCGTCAGGTGTGGTCGCGTGCGGTTATAAATCCACAGTAGAATGGACGGTGACTCGACGACATCGGTAATCGATCCCTTTCACTCGCCACATTGATATTCTCATTACATAAATTCGTCGATTAAAGTGCGTTAATTGCTTCGCGTTATCTTAACGAGCTCTTCCGATACGAAAAGGAGCACGACTCTAAAGATTAATGCGTTGATCGCTCGTTACATTACGAGCAATCGATCAAGACTAATAATAACGAACTACCTGCATCGGAGGCTGGAATACAGGGCATTTTATATTTTTGCGGAAACGAGACTAAGCGGTACAAAGATCAATGGATGGTGGTCGCGTACAATGTCGTGGCAAATGAAATTGAATCAATATAAGGCGTCGCATGTCACGGAAATTAGTGTACTCGTCGGCTAGTGTAATTCTAATGCGGTTGCAAGACTCGAAGTGGGCGTAGAAACGGGACAAAAGCGCAGACACCCTCGCTGTACGTTCACCCACCGCTGCTTCCAGCACGTACTCCATGTCCGCGATGATTGTGCAAATACTACGCGATACCGCAATTTACTGAACCTTACACGCTTTCGTTTGGACGCCTTCTTCGCTCCTTTGCCCCCTCGGAGTCCTCGTCGTAAAGTCGCGGTTTAATTACGAGGAGCTGCCGTCTCGTGACCTGTGCGTTCGAGGACCTCTGGCCAAGAGGTTGGGTAAACACGTACGCTGTTGCTTCAAAGTGAGATTAATCGTTATTTTTCAAGACCGCCTAAATTCTACCTCTAACTCTCGAGACCCTAAATTCCGTGCTCCCAGATTTAGATCTTGCGCTAAAAAATTTGATGCTTTCAAGATGCACCCCTAGATTTCTAAATCTCTAAACTGTCTAATTTCAACGTCGTTTCGGCGTCGCTCTAGATTGACACGTTAGTCTCTATGGAAAACAGTCGATCCGGTGAAAGAAGTAAGCTGAGCGGATTACGAGGAGGGATCGATAGATCGTGGCGAGGATCGAAACGAAAAGTGTCGCTGTCGCTTTCGTTCGCGGCCACTTTTGGCCAGAGGATTTCCCGGCTGCTGTGGCGCTCGCGCGCCTCGTTGAATCGCGGTAGTGTGTCATTCTAAAAATAGAGAGAGGTTGAAACGAGAGAGTAGCCACGAACTCGGAGAAAGAGAGAAGGGATCGGACTCGTATAGTCCCGGTCGTGAACCCGAAGAACGACCTCGGAGAAACGCTGGTCAAAGCGAGAGAGAAAGAAGAGCGAAGCCGCATAGGAGAGCGAGGGAAAGAGATCGAGTAAAGGGGGAGAAAAAGATCGACGGTCAGAGATAGAGTAGAAGGAAGGGAATAAAGAGAAAGAAAGGGAAAGAGAGGAAGATTAAATTAAACAGACAGCATTGCAAAAGACTTTAAAAGCACGACGACACGACAGGCGGGCTTGAAAGCCTCCTGCGCGATTTTAAATATCACGGCTGTGCTGTCGGGCATGGAAAAAGTCGGTAGTGCGCGTACGCGCGCGCGAGAACGCCGTAGCGCGCGCGCATGCGCACCTCCTTCTGTTTCGAGCACTTTCTAACTTTATGGCGGCGCGTTACTTTATGGCGGAATCGCGCTGATCGTTCGTTTCTCTTTCTTCGTTTATAAATCCATGACGGCCAGCTCATAAAACGATACTAGATACCATTAAATTGTTTTTATCTTTCTTCGTTTGTTTTAAAAGGCGTAGTAGGGAAATTCTAGAGGCAACAGAATAGATTCACTTTGTGCTCTGAACGTGTCTTCTAATTCAAATACCGCTACATGTACTCGAATCAAATGTACATATAGAAATGTCGAAATTCCCGAATTACCAAACCTTCCTAAATTTGAAAATTTATCAACCAAGAGCTAAGGAGTAATTTGTGACACGTTATCGCGCATAGTTCGACGACGTATATCTGCATTCGTCATTCGCGGTAGAATTCCAAGTTGTTGCTTGTTCGATGACTATGAGGTAAGAGAGATGACGTGGTTGTAATGCATGTTTCCGATAACTCGTCTGTTATCGAACCAGACGAGACAGTTAGGTATTTCTTAACGATCACTTCGGACGAGTTCCGCGTCGTTTCGCCGTATGATTCACTAAAAACGTTAGCGAAACAGAGCTACATAACGGAATTATAAACGATGGCCAATAAACAGATGTTTAAGAAGCCATGCCTCTTGTCCGCTCCTTACCCGCTCGTTCGTCGACTTTCGCTAATTTGCCGTGTTTTGAAAACCGTATTATTTCCGGTCGAAGAAAAGAAGCAACTTACGGTAATCCGGTGAGAGGAAATCAATTAACGGTCCAGAACGACCGTGCTCATCAATTCTTGCGCCGTATCGCGGAATGACTGTTCGCTGCTTCGAAGTGTAAATGAGAGAACGAGAAGCAAAAGATACTGTTATACGAATGTAAGTTGTTTACATTTCATTTAGGATATCGTTTGCTTCATTAGTCAGGTTAATCTTCTTTCCAAGACGCTTCGTGTTCGATGGAGAAGTATGGGATACGATATTCCTCAAAATCGATATCAATTTGATAATAAAAATATCGATGAAAAATCGATGCAGTCATTCTTGTTAAACCTTTAGCTTTAAATCGATGTGTCAGAAGTGCTAATCTACGATACTTTTATGTCGTCGAATTATACGATACTTTGAACGCTAATAGTACAGTTCAGTGAACCATTAGTTATAGGATAATGGCACAAAGGACGTATCTCTGGTAATAAATACAAGAAATATAACCGCGGTATAAATTTCTGAAAGATAAAAACCGATATTACATAATCGTCGATGTAAAGTCGAGTTACGATCACGATCGTGAAACTCCGCAAGATCGCAAATAGCATCCTTCGGCTTCTCCTTCGGCTCCAGGAAGAGGTGTATCCTTGAGGAGTTTCAGATTTCATTTTCGAAATACGTTCGGTCGTGGTACGGCATAAATACACGGCGCACGGAATGGCTAATAATAGGAGGTTTTGGCTTGGCAGCCAACGACGCTGGCCTGCAATGCTTCCCTTACGGTTCCATACGCTCGTATCTTCCGTTAATTTCGAACAGAAAACGATGGAAACCGCCGTCGGGGGAAATTAACGAACGAACGAGTGACCGGTGTGCTCGCGTTGTTGTCGCGGGTCCCACGTTGTGTCGCGAATCACGCGACAGCCCGCGAGAGAAGGAAAGCGGGATTCTCTCGTTGTTCGACGAATCCAGAGCAATCTAAGAATAGACGCGGCCGCTGCTTCGAGATAGAATCCTCCTGTTCCTTTGCTTGCATACTTTCGTAATCGTTGGATCGCGGATGTTTACGCGAGAGGAACGCATCCAACCTGCATGAGGTCGCGTTCACCCCTGCAACCACCAAGATAACAGTAACAACGCTGTTATTCCTTTCCATTTCTCTCCAGCGCTTATTAGAAATATATTCACGGGTGTCTGGAAACTCTGTATTTTAGGATCAAGTTTGGTTAGAGGGTGTACTTAAATACCTAAATAGTTTTTCGGAAAAGTTAGTTAGGATCAGTCGAAAAATATACATGACAATCGATAAAATATCGTAAATGATCTCTGATATCATAATTACGGAAATATTAATGTTGATGCTTCGTTAATCGTTAATAATGCCGAACGAAAAATTGCGTAATTCGCGCAACGCGGCCAGATCGACGATCTAAAGTGGAAACGATCTACGCGGTGTCTAATTTTGTCGTCGAATTAAGTTTCGCTTTCTACGAGACCGTTCTTCGGGCAAGAGAGCAAAGAAAATTGTTCGTCCAGAAATATCCGGTGACCTTCTTCCGAGCGCCGCGAGGAAGCTCGGGACCGAGCGGTCAACGTTGATTTTGCGCGAAACGCCCAGAAAATCTTGTTTCCCGACTGATTTCCTAAAACGAGGTTATTTTATCGTTGCAGGTGTCCACGGTGCGAGTGTCCGAAGATCCGGGCGCGCCATAATGGCGGAGGTGGCGACGAAAAAGTCGATCAGCGTAGTAAGTAGTAAGAAAAGCGAGGTGTGCAGTGTTCAATCTAACAATGGTTTGATCGAGTTGGATAACCTAACCGCGAGTAACAAACAACTAATCTCGCTGTGCGATACCAACGACGACGAGGACGATCTAATCCTGACTAATAACACGCGTAACGAGTTGGACAGCGACGACAAGAGTCTTCAGGAGCTGATCGAGAGCGAGTTGGCTCTGAGAATCTGTTCGAACAACGAGCCCGAAGCGGGCCTGGACGACGTGGACGCGGAACAAGAAACGAACAACGAACCGGAAACGGTGAAGAGGATCGTCTTGGACAGACAACCGGATATCGTCGACGTAAATTCAGAGTTCATCGCCGCGGAAACCGAGCATTCTGCTCTCATCGAGAAATCTTATAATTATCAAAACGGTCACATGTCACCGGACACAAAAATCGGTTACGAGGAGAACGTGAAGCCGGAACCGATTCAGGTTGGCTTGAGAGACGAGCAACAAGAGGAGAAAGAACAGGAGCAGGTATTCGACGAACAGCCAGAAGTTGGCAGCGCGATAGTCGTTCAAGAAACAACGACGCTCGAGATCGATACATCGGCACGTGACACGTTGGACGATGACAAACCGTATCAGCAAAACGAGGACAACGAAGATCCTTGTCCCAATTATCCTGTTTCCCGGTCGACGGAGACTGCGGATAGGCCAGCCGATGTGTCCAGCATGATCCAGGAGTCGTTCGAGCCGAGCTACGAGACGGATAAGGAGCGAGTAATCACGACGCCTGTTATGTACGTTGACAAGTACCAGGAGGAAAAAGAGGTTCAGGACACGGTGCTGGAGACCGTCGACGAAAACGTCGACCAAACGGAAGCTGAAACGATGGCGGAGTGTGATCCCTCGAAAATCGAGCAGCTGGACACCTGGACGGAACAGACAGAAGGTCAACAAACCGGCCAATTTTCCGATAACTTTGATCAAACCCTGTGCCAAGAGGCCGTCGAAGAATTCGTCAAAGAGTCTTCGCCGCGGGAAAACAGCAAACTGGGGGACTCTATCGAGCCGGAATATAACGATTCCAAGGATCCCTCTCCGGAGGAGGACGCGAAAATGCCCGGGGTAGAGGATCGAAATCCCAAGGAGGAGACTTTGACTCGTTCGGAACCGGAAGAGGAGGTTGCAGGCTCTCCCGCGCAGTCCAGGAGCTTCGACGATGGCATGAGTCGATCCGAGAGTTCCACCGATGCCATCAGCACTCAAGAGTTCATAGACACCGAACGTCGAGTGTTGAGCGAGGAAAATGCCGATCAGCAGATCCAGGAAGAGGTGCAGCCTTCGATGGAGAAGATCGATGCTCCTGCGGACAATTTGTCGGAGTTTGACGAGGAAGCGCATGGGAAAGAGGAAACGAACGATAACGCGGACGAACAGAACGTGATCGTGGAATCGTCCAGCGAACTGTCTGTCTCGGAGCCTACGTTCATCGAGAAGACCGAAGTGGTAATATCGGAGAGTAACGTGACGATTTTTTCGGAAACGAGGTGCCTCGAAAACGAGACGGAACCGCAGCTCGAGGAACAGATTCAAAGTGAACAACTCGATTCTTCTCTGCGTGCACCGCTTGCCACACCCGATGACGAGATCAGCGACGTTTCTAACGCGTGTGACGTAAGTTTTGTTGTTGCTTTCTTTAATCTACCGATACGAGAAACAGAGGCAAGTTTCAGGTCGAGCAAGGTAGGCCGTTTTCGAGCAATTGCATTTAACACCGAAACGGTTTTCGGACTTTGTTTGGATGCTTGCGTTTGCTGATTGCTGTTGTTCCGACGGGAATGTTCGGTGTTGTTAACGTTCTACCGTGTGTATTGTTCCGCAATTTGTATCGATCGTGTAACGTTTCGTTTCGTCCATTGTTTGGAGCAAAATATATATTATGGAACAGAAGATTTAAAAACAGCATGCGACGAGGTTGTTCGCGTTCCTCCGCAGTGTATCGAGTAATTTTTGCAAACGAGTCATTCCGGCCCCGCTTTTCCTGCCTTGTTACACCGCAACAGTAATTACGGCGCTGCTCCCACGCGTATTTCGTGCCGGTAACAATTAATCTCATTAATTCTCTGCAACGTCGAAATCACAGATAAGCTCGCGTTCTTTGGCCGTACAGCAACGACGATTCCTTTTTGTACGCAACGTCTGTTCAATTGTATGAAATACGGAGCGATACTTTCCAAGAGGCGCGAATGACGTTACGCGAACCGTGGCGGTTTTAATTAAAGAATAGAAGTGTAATTGGCTCGTTGACACCACGCAACCACGCGTAACCACTTTCCTTCTACGTTATTTCTCTTCATTGACACTCGTAAGAGTACGACACGCGAGCATGCACGCGTTACTGCACGATGGAAACAACGAACGAATGTAGTTCATGGCTACGAACGGAATTACGTGGAGTCGGTAACGCCGGTCGAAACACAACGCGCCTGGTAATTAACGAGTCGTTCGATTAAGCGCGTCGTGTCGATCGGTATCGACGTGTCGGAACCAGGCAAACTTTCGTAGAAATAAATTTGGATGTTCTAGCGTTCGAGTTCCGCGTCGCATCGTAGATTTGTTTAAAATTTTGCAATTTTGATATCGTCATCGGCAAATCCGAAAAAATGTCAAAAATCGTGATTTCCTTTTAATTCCCGTTTCGTGGCAGGAAGCGCGATAAAAATACGATATCAGAGTTTTTACTTTCGAAGAAAGATAACGACCAAGCGAGTTGACAACTTGTTTCCGATGCAAACACTCGTTACAGCCTGTCCAAATATGGCGAGGTTGCTGTTTAACGTCCTCGACTGACCAATTGATTTCCAACATAACTCGCAGCGGTTACCGTCATTAATACATACTTTGACCGTCGCGTCATTCGTGTCTGAATACATTTACGATCGTTTCCCAAAGACTCCCAAGGAGTTTAACCGTTTTCGGTACTTAAGAATCGATTGCGTAATCGCGAGGTATAGACATAATGTATAATAAGTTACGTTAACGAGAAATATTTCCGCGGTGCACAATATCGTCGGTTCAAGTAAGCGAAACAAGTTCAGCGTAGCTCGACGACACGAATAGAAACGAGCACGATAATTCACAGGGCCCCACGTGAGCGGATCGCCACGTACCGGAAGCAATCCGCTCGTTTATCAAGGCGTCGCTACGAAACCGAGTTATCAGACAAGTCGGTTCAACGACCACCGCCCATGTCGTCCACGCATCTAGTAACCTATTCTTCTGGGAACTAGCTTAACCGAGATCGATCGAATCTTCAATAGGTATTTCGCGTAAATCGCTGTTCGACTGACTCGACAGAAGGTTCCTCGGACAGTTTGTGCTTTCCTTCGTGTTCAACTACACGATGGTGCATCTTCGAAGATTAATATTCAAAAACCCCCTACTCGGTCATGGCGAGTTCAATGGACTCCTTCCAATTATTTCTACATAGACACGCGTTCGTACAATTCACCTAGCTATCGATCAAACTTCGTATCGTACAAAAAAAGCAGAAATTCGACATTCTCGTTAATTACATATTGAATGTGTCCGATTATACGTGTATGATTCCACTTGATCATTGAACGTGTCAATAAAATTTACACGACACACCGATCGCTATCACGCATCGAACGAGCCAACCGTGTCCAGTTTTCCACTTGGAAGTACCAAAGTGTCACACAGCTTTTCCACCAATTCACGTTTTCACCGATAAAAAGTGTAGACGCTCCAGTTCTCTCATACATGTCACTAACAGGAGAAGGCGGTTCGAGAAACAAACGTACATAACGCGTTTGAAGCACGCTTTAACCGAAGATATCGAGGTCGAACGTTTCACGGTGAATCGTCGACCAATCCTACGGTTCCGTCTGCTGGATCAGCCGGCTTACGTATCGTTCTGCTACCTGAACACCGTCTAGTTCCTCTTCGTGTTTCACCTGGCCACGCGTAAGCGACCAACCGTCGCTTCGTGTCCGCTGGAAACGACCAATCGCGGAAATCCACCGTATCCCCACGATTTCCTCTCGCTGTACACGCTTTGGAGAGCACCGAGTTTCCTGAACCCCTTAACTCTTCTTCTTCGACGTTCAGACATCTCTGGACTCCTCGATCCAACGGATATCCATATAACTTCTTCGTCCTTCGTGGTGGCTCTTCGAGGATGATTTTTGCTCAGGTAGGATTTTTATTCTTCGCGTTTCGTACTTCGCGCTTTACTTTCGATCGAAACGTGCTTCAATCGGATATCGTGGAATAGGTATTAACGCAATCTAACGCGTTAGGTTTAAACCGTAGCGATAGAATGTGAGGGATTACAAGAAATTATTTCTAGAAAATATTTAGAATTTCATTTCCAATGTATTATAATTGAATGCACAAGGTACGGTTACCGCCTACGCGTTGAATATTTATGCGAACTTTACGCACTGTTTATGCTCGAAATCTTTAGCAGATTTACTGTTATAAGGGTAATTCAGTTCCTAGTGTAACCGTTCTTCAAAATATCCTGCAGTTTTCGATCATCTTCTACTCCAGCTAGTCGCGAAACGCGATCCCTTTCTCCTTCTATCTTTCCTTTACTCGCCTTCCCTCTCGTCTACTCTTCGAAGTTCTTCAGTCAGCTTTCGTCGACCTCTTTGCGAAGGCAGACGCGCGTCGTCCTCCCGAGTGAATAACCGGTGCTCGTACAGGATTTTCGTGGATTCGAAACGTTAATCCGTGTCTGTGCTGAATAGATCAATCGTGTAAAGAATTTCGGGGAACGTTCAAGTGAACGCGAAGCTCGAGAAAGTGTGCTGCGAAGCGAATTGTCAGAATCTTTCGTTTAAAAATTTTAGTATCCTGTGTCGGAGGTGTGATCGATCTATCCAGCTCGCTTTTTAAATGTTAAAAAAGTAAAAAAAAGAAACGCGCGTGTCAATGAATCGAATGGAAGAAGGTGCGTGCAATATTAGATACATAAGTTGCCCGAAACTTGTGAAAGTGAATCGAGGAAGCATCGTATGTGAATTAGAAAGTCTAGAAGCAACGTTACGAAAGTTCCTGGCTGATCTCGTTCACCGTGACCATCCTATTTATCACGGGGAATCGCCACGCGACGATTCTCGTCGATCGAAACGAGGAATCCGCGCGAAACCGCAAGGGATGTTAATTAAGAAACACGTCTGCGTGACTCGTCGGTCGGCTTTCGCGAAGAATGCAGTCGTAATCGCGATTCGGATCGAGTTCTTCGAGAGTTTACGCGACGCTAGTAACGAGCTATCGCGTTGATCATTAATAATAAGATCGTGATTAAGTTATCCCAACTATTCGTGAACGCATCACGCGAGTGTTTGCAATTAATTCCAGGATCTGCAAGATTTTCGTTTCGTGCATAGAATTGTTCGATCATTAGGTTATTAAAATCATGCTCGTTCCTTCTTTCAGAGTAGTTATCAAAATTACAGAAATTATCATTTTCGAGAGTAGCAATCTTCAATTACAGTACATCGAACAATAGGATGATTTAGAAAGGAAATTGCAAGTTGCAAATATCGCGCTAGTCATCGTTTGTTTACCAATGCTTGATGCAATTTGCCGTTGGAACGATGCCCTCGTTGCTTATGAATATTTAACAAACGTCTCAAGTACAATCGAACTATCAGGTTTATTCGATGAAAAGCGTGAATGTTTCTCTAAAAAAGATTCCTGACTACAAATTGCCATGTATCTGAAATGTTTGGTAGCTTGACGGTGAACGCGGATTCGCACGTTGAATCGGCACGATCGGTGGACGCCACGATTCATATCTATCCGGTCATTAATACCTTGTTAACTCGTGGAAAAGGAATGCACGACACTCGCTCTCTTCCTCAACGAGTTGCTCATTGATCGCGATACAACGCATTCCTCTCTCTATTGTATGCGCGGAGGAAAGTTACTGTAACATCTAGCAAGAAAATGTTGGAATTACGATATTGTTACGCGTAATATCTTCGTCATCTTGTCGTGAGCGAGCATATTAATATTCAAAACTCCAGGTTATCTTTGGATCGAAAAAAGTTTTTGATCTATTATGAAATTAAGCCAGTTTCGTTTTGAAGATTATAAGTGACCAAAGATTGGGTGCAACGTTACGAAAGTTCCTGGCTGATCTCGTTCACCGTGACCATCCTATTTATCACGGGGAATCGCCACGCGACGATTCTCGTCGATCGAAACGAGGAATCCGCGCGAAACCGCAAGGGATGTTAATTAAGAAACACGTCTGCGTGACTCGTCGGTCGGCTTTCGCGAAGAATGCAGTCGTAATCGCGATTCGGATCGAGTTCTTCGAGAGTTTACGCGACGCTAGTAACGAGCTATCGCGTTGATCATTAATAATAAGATCGTGATTAAGTTATCCCAACTATTCGTGAACGCATCACGCGAGTGTTTGCAATTAATTCCAGGATCTGCAAGATTTTCGTTTCGTGCATAGAATTGTTCGATCATTAGGTTATTAAAATCATGCTCGTTCCTTCTTTCAGAGTAGTTATCAAAATTACAGAAATTATCATTTTCGAGAGTAGCAATCTTCAATTACAGTACATCGAACAATAGGATGATTTAGAAAGGAAATTGCAAGTTGCAAATATCGCGCTAGTCATCGTTTGTTTACCAATGCTTGATGCAATTTGCCGTTGGAACGATGCCCTCGTTGCTTATGAATATTTAACAAACGTCTCAAGTACAATCGAACTATCAGGTTTATTCGATGAAAAGCGTGAATGTTTCTCTAAAAAAGATTCCTGACTACAAATTGCCATGTATCTGAAATGTTTGGTAGCTTGACGGTGAACGCGGATTCGCACGTTGAATCGGCACGATCGGTGGACGCCACGATTCATATCTATCCGGTCATTAATACCTTGTTAACTCGTGGAAAAGGAATGCACGACACTCGCTCTCTTCCTCAACGAGTTGCTCATTGATCGCGATACAACGCATTCCTCTCTCTATTGTATGCGCGGAGGAAAGTTACTGTAACATCTAGCAAGAAAATGTTGGAATTACGATATTGTTACGCGTAATATCTTCGTCATCTTGTCGTGAGCGAGCATATTAATATTCAAAACTCCAGGTTATCTTTGGATCGAAAAAAGTTTTTGATCTATTATGAAATTAAGCCAGTTTCGTTTTGAAGATTATAAGTGACCAAAGATTGGGTCCTACCGGCATATAATGTGTACTTAATTCGAAATTAAAAATGAAGTTAAAAAATAAATAAACAAACGACAAAACATAAATTAGTACACACATTTATTCTTAATCTTGATGAAAATCAATTCTGATTTCAAGGAATGTACTTTAACGAAATGAGTACCTTGTAATAAGAAACTTGTCGAGCGGTCATTTGACCGGTTTGGTAGTTTTAGTGTTAAGCTATGCCACACGCGTGATCAGCTGATGGCAGATCATAGAACGAAATTACGTTCACGATGCGATCGATCTACTTTCGAAAGGAAGAAGAAACATTTCTCGATAGAAACTCGTGTCGCAATTACACGGTGTCACATTCCCAATATGTAAAATAGTAGGCCGCTCGTCAGACTCGACTTAGCAAACGATTGCGAAAAGGAATCGTCTCGTTCACGAACCTCGTGCAAGTATAAAACGTTTGAAAGTGTCATTTTTTTGAACGATTACCGTTATCGACGTTTTTGTTTCCGATCTTTCATAATCGTTCAAGCTAAAGTTCCTTCCTCCGGATGTTTAACGACAGTCCAAGGAACTACCGAGATCTATTATTAAGAAAATTGTTATAGCAATATCCTTTCATTATACGGCAACATCCTTGCGCATCAGAATTTCTTCGAAATTGAAAATTACAATGATACATCGAAGACTCGGCGAATCAAATACGAGAAACTCTTTAATTTGCATTCTGTTAATCGAGTAGAGGACCATTATGGTTTCAATATCTAAGAGCGTATCTAGAGATGCTTCTAATTCCGGCAAATAATCTGAGCACGTGTATTTTTTCTGCAGAGCGAAAGCCGCGAGGAGACGTTAACAACGAGCACAACGGTGACCTCTCCAGGCACAAAGGTCGGAACGAAGACGAAGAAAAAGAAGATCGAGGGGGTAGCCGGAAACGATGCCTCGCCTAACCTCACTCCTCGCACAAAGAAGACCAAGAAGAGCAAGAAGAGCGAGCTCGAGAAGGAGAACATCTCCGTGGTAAGTGGACGTCGCGAGCGTGTTCGTTGATTTTCCGACAGGCTTTCGCGTAGCACGCGAGGGAAACTTCTTTCTCGCTGGCGGAAAACGGCTTCGCGCGTCGCGAGTCCAACCGGATGTTGGAAAAGACGATCGTATCACGATCGAGGCGACAGAAGACGCGACGTTGGTACAAGTACTCGTGTTGTGCATGGATCGTTAACGTCGTGTTAATTAGGGGCGTTGGAACATTTACGTCGATGGATGATGATCGTCTTAGCGAGAAAACCGGAAGACAATGTTTAATCCTTATTTGCATGCGGTCGATTCGGTGTAAATCGTTTCCAGACAATTTTCACTTTAATCGGCGTCGATAGAAAGGAGCATTTCTATGGACTTTTCCGTTTTCTCTACAACCTTTTGTTCTACCATTTAAAGAAAATTAATGGACGAGATCGTAGCGGAGAAAGAGAGGGGTCTTTGCCCATTAAATACGTGGGAATATTTATTTTTTATCTTCTTAACAACAGAGTTTCCGAGCAATTCGATTCTGGATATTCAATGAGAAGTAAAAAGATACGTCTTCTGATCAGCCAGAGATCATCGGTGTAACTAGAAACTTTGTTCGGGGCGAGTACCTAATGGAAAAATGGACAAACATTAACCGGAATCGATTGCGAACGAAAAGCTTTCTAAAATATGTGTGTTTATCTCTAACAAATGGACGTGTTTATCTGTTGCATCGAAGAATTTTTGTACATTTCATAGTTCTACTCCTTACTAAAAACGAAACATCCTATCGTGAGATTAAATTAAATGATCTTATCGTAAAGTTAACTTGGATAGCCTGCATGTACGCGTGTTTGTTTTTGTGTTTGTTAGAATTGTAACATCCAAGAACCGAGCATGCACCCTGGTTCCCGACAGATACATCCGGAAGCGCTTGATTTCTCGGACGAAGATGATTTGTCGAACGTGAACGTCAAGTCTCTGGTAAGTTCGGGGACTCGAAGCACAATCATTTACGAGGCAAGTCGTTTACGTCTTCGGTCGTTTCAGAATTAGCGTAGCGAAATTATAATCGAGAATCGCGTCTTGTTCGCAACTATCGGTCGCGACTTTTGGATGTAGCGAGATCGGCAAAGCTTCGAGGAAGCGATCTTGTAACGAGCTCCGTTTCTTTAGCAACATTCACAAATTTTGTATATATTGTACGAGTAAACCTTGTGTACAAGTCCGTTCGAAAAGTTTCAAGTTCCTTAGTTCTAAACATCACTTACAATTAGCTTTAAAAATGACCCCTCCAAATGGGACTAGCCCTATAATCGAAGATCCTAGTAGAGAAGTCCTAGGTCGCATGTGATTAGCTTTTGTACCCTGTGCATTTTGTGCATGCAGACACAGACTTACGTGTCGGAGACGAGTCGCAACGAACAGGATCGATGTTCCAAGGAAAAGATCGCGACCGGTGTATCGATCAAACAGTTGGTAAGTGAAACGATCCTGATTCAGCCGAACGAATAATTTAAGCTTCTATGTGGACTTTAACGAATTACGTGATAATTTAACTTGGCGATAACGCTTCTTTATTATCGTGCGCGGCTGCGATTTTTCTTGTTAACGGATGTCGAACACACATTTTGTCAGTTGTATTTTGTCCACTAACAGTGCCGTAGCTTTGGCGACATCTCGAACATGAGCGACGGCGATCAAACGGCGTACAGGAAAACGAATCACGCGATGGAGAACGAGGAGGTTTGTATGTCATTGTCACCCGATTCGATAGCGTTTTCTTCGTCGTTTTTCGATCTTGAGCCGAGAATCGCGGATGTTTGAGTTCACCAGGTGTTTATCTGGCACCAAGTCGTTTCGATAGATTAATTACTTGCTCTGGAATGTTACTCGGTATTCGACGCGATCCTGTTACGATCACAGCATGGCTGAGAAATGCCAGTCCTATTAACAGTCGTTATTGCATGAACTACTTCGCGAACATCCCCTATTATTTGCTTCGAGATGCGTAGCGATACGATTAACCAGACGGCGAACAAACGATTTATCCTGATTATCGTAACGGCATACTAATCGCGTTACAAGTACGAGCTTTGCGAAGACGATAGCTTAGAAATTCGATGAATCGGTAATCTTTGGTCGGAACGATATACGCGATTTGTAACCGATTAAAATGGAATATGTAGGTTATTTTGTGAACTTGAACGTACTTTGAATTTGACGATTCAGGAATTTCGCTACTTGCCAATAGAGGGGAAAGCGAACGATCTAAATGCGTAAAGAATAAGTTCGCAAAGCTCGTCACTGCGCGAAACTATCCTCTTCTAATCTGACTTGCCATTGACGCTCCGGACGGTCGTAGAAAGCAAGGTCGCTGGGTGATCTACGATTATGCGAGAAGGGTTACTCGAAGTTCACCAAAGACGCACTGGTCTTCGTCGGGGTGTCGGTCAAGGCCCTTGTAAGTACCTTTCGTGAACTTGTCGGGCAACATCGGAGACAGATTACAGGATAAAATATTTCGATCGAGCATAGTCGCGTTACGAAAGTCAAGACGGAATGCGGAGAATGAAAAGAACGAACGACTCGGAGGATGATTGTTCGCGCGTACACGCGAGTGATCCGCTCGAGTACGGGCCGTGTTCTCCGCGTACTCGCTGGTCGTCACGCTCGCGAATGCTGTCTCTCCATTTAAGGGAGGGCCGGCTTTGATAATAACCTACTACTCATTTGCCCCACTTTACGGCGATGGTGGCCGAGAATCGAGGTCTTGCTTGCCAGTTTTTCACGATGTATCCGCCGTTCGTTTATATCGGTTATCCGGTTACGGATTTCGAGTCGAGTGACATAATTCCCGGCACCGTCGCCGAGATACACCCGAGTGAAATCGTCCTCGACACCACCACCACCACCGATCTTCGTATTCCAAGTTCGCTCGAACGCGTCGTTGGACAATCGGAATTTCGATTTGCGCGTCGATTCGACACCCGAACAGTGTCAGAGAAAGCATACAAAAGGGAGAACGTGCCAAGAAGAAAGGCGATTGCTAGCGAAGCTCGAAAAAAAAGACCCGAGTCTGTCTTCGATGTTGACCCCTCTCTCGTTCTTTGTCCTCTTTTTCTTCGCTCCGACGATGCAGCGGTTGCCGAGATTCGTATCAATTGGTGGGTGCCAACGTTTCACGGTGTCCTTGCCAATTCGGTCGTATTCGCGAGTTCTTGTTTGCTTATCAATTAACTCGGCGAACGGCTCTTTCTTTGGCTCGAGAACGGTTCGAGTCACGTCGACGTAGTTTACTCTTGGTCAAGGCTTCTTTTTTAACGCGTTCATTGGTTGATACGAGGATGCGTTCGAAAGTACGCTTCCAAGATTCTAGGTCGAATATAGGCGTCCGTCGTATTTCGAACATTAATTAACTGTCGCAGACAAATTTACTTTTTATAGATATCGAGGACGTTCGGGATTCATTCTTTTATTTGCTGCTTTTACTAGACGATTTTAATAGAGCTAGTCGTTTTAGTTAGCTACAAGTGTGCGTTGACTGTCGCGGTAGAATTGCGTCTAGTATCGATTTCCGCGTTATCGGTAAAACTGTTAAATCATTTGGAACATTCTATTTTCTTCGAATCGATCAAATTAATCCGTCGAGTTCGGTGAGTCAGTTGAATTAGCCGTGCACGCGACGGTATCGATTGTAACTAATATTAAAAACTAATCTTCTAATCAAAAGCCTGCTATTAACATTTAGAACCTCCTTCCTCTTTTTATAATTCTTTTTAAGTGCATTAAATATAACCTAATATCGCCTATGTGTCAGCGAAATTGTATATCGTCTCTGTACTTTTTCGATTCAATTTGTAAAATGATCGACCAATAACCAAAGTAAAAGCAATCGCAGTGTGGCAACCGCTGTATCCGAGAAACACGAGAATGAAGGTAGCGCTTCGAATATTTACAACACTAACCCACAGCCCGTGCTGTTTCTTTCTTTTTGTTGTTCGATGCCCAATACCCGGCCGTGCATGAAACCTTAACCGACAAAAAAATATTATGAAACCAACCTCGGGACAGAGGGCTTCCTACTGTAGTTTGGCAAACTTAACGAGCGAGGGTAAGGACACGGATCGACCGAGGCTCGAGGTAAGCCCCTGAAGAGATAACCGTGATAACGTCGGTTCGTCTCTTCGTCGCTTTTGCCGTTCGAGCAGCAGCTTTCTCAGCATCCGCTTTTTTCTTTATCAAAATGCTTGTTTTTTTGTTCGTTTGGCATATGGGTATTTAATCGTAAAACAATATTCCCATGATCTGGTAAATTTAGTTAAAACGGAAGTTCTGTCTGACCAATCCTCTCTGATAGTATTCGAAAGAAAATGAAACTTTTAGCATAGGCGGGAATACCGTTTCAGAGTATTCGATAAATTCATTCAAAAATTAATCCTTGAACGGTGAAATTGGATCTTTTGCGACCCAATTTCAAATATAATTTTACATTCGATTTTGCATTGATTGTTACCGATATTCAAGCATTGCCTACGCAATCTCGACCGTGGCAATATAACGAGAATAAGAATATCTTTCCTTTAGTAACTCGAGTAAGTTTAGATCACGATTGACCCGTTCACCGCTGTTCAACGATTAATATTTGTAGCCATAACAGATAAAAAATATTCGTCTCTCTAGCCAGATTTGTCATAAAATGAAAATTAATAAGGCGCGCAGTAAAGCATAAAGACTCTGATATAGCGAAGTCGCGTTTGAAGATGAAAAACAAGCAGAACTCTAGTTTACAAGTTTTATGAACGATTGGACAGCTTCCAGACCGTATTTTCTTTCTCTTAATCTGTTTCTTGGCCACCTTTGAACAGCGCACCCGATACTCTCACGCACGAAATATCCTCGTTACTAGTAAACGTATGTTCACCGTGGGCACCCTTTCAAGTCTGTATAATTAGCAGAAAGAGAAGAAGAAGTACAAGTAGTAGCACGTATATCCTTTGAAAGATGCGCGAGACACGCTTTTTTAAATGCTCACGCTGAACAAGCTTGAGAGGCTAGAAACACCATGATCCATCCATCGAGGTTTCTTCCTCGACAACGAAACTGTTGGTGTATTTCGAAACGCTTCTCGCTTGACGGCTGCAACGTTTGTGTTTACAGAAGTCGAGCTTCAATAAATTCGACGCTCTCAGTAAGAAGACTGTGCTGCATGTGCGCTCGATCGACGCGGGCAAAGTGCAACAACAGCTGAACGCCGTAAGCACACTTCGAGATACTTTAACACGTTGCGGATCAGACACTTCACACTTTTCATACAATCATTTCTTATACTATATCTTTCGATAACGTATACACGAAGGTCCGTAACTTTTTCTATAATAAGTTATTTCAAGTTTTCAGATATTTATTCGTCCTTTTATCGTGTGTTGGTTATACTATTGTGTCCTAATATGTTGTTCCGTAGGATCTTTGTAGTAACAGTATTCGTAGCGATATGTATTTATAGATAGAACAGAAGGGTTGGTTTGCGATTAATCGACTAACCGATTGGTTTGGAATGTACACTCCTTTTCAAATTTCACCAATAATAAAAATATATTAAATCGAAGAAGAGCAAAAGATGTTTTCCAAACTAATCGGTTAAATTGCAGCATTAAAAAGAAAGCGGTGGTAAGAATAATGAATTATTGACGACAGGTGGGTCAAAACGGGGACACGAATCCAAATTGCCGTAGCTGCGGCAAGGTCGTCTTCCAAATGGAACAGACAAAGGCCGAGGGTCTGGTCTGGCACAAGAATTGCTTCCGGTGCGTCCAGTGTAGCAAGCAGCTTAACGTCGACAATTACGAGAGCCACGAGAGCACGCTTTACTGTAAGCCACACTTCAAGGAACTCTTCCAACCGAAACCGGTTGAAGAGTCGGAACAGCCTGGTAAGTCGATCATCGTGTAAGTATGTAGTTCGTGACACCCTCATGGTATAGTCGCGTGCAACGATGTCTTTTCTCGAAAGAGTAACCGTAGGTCCTATACAACGTAGGACGTTAAAGTAGAGCTAGGGGAAAGCCATCTTTCAGTATAGGTGGGTGTGGAGATAGGCCACGAACGGATAATCTTTTATCTAACTTATGTAGAGGAACGATTTCTTTTCTATCTTTTTCTATATCGATAGAAGTCTCGTTGCACGCGACTGTACGATTTGTTACGCGTTGTATCAAAGATTCGAAATCGAAGAGAAACAGAATTATCGGCAAAGGCACGTCGATAAAATCATTTGGGCCGCTTTGAAATTGAAGGAAATCCGATTGTCCGAACGGTTTAAACGAGCGATCGTATATGCGTATTTCAGGCGGGACTCGTCGCACGGTCCCCCTTTATTGTAGTCACTGAAATTACTGCTCTCCCTTTTTGTCTACCCTTCTCCTTGTTTCTCCCCACTATAATTACACGTAAATGCAGAGAGATCGTTAATGCGACAAAGAGATGTCTTGTGAACTTCGTAGTGCGACCTCGAAAGCCGGAGCTGATCATACGGGAGAACGAGCCGAAAGAGTTGCCGCCCGATGTGGTCAGAGGTAAAGACACAGTTCGAGTGGAATTGTGCAAGACGTTTTGCTGGAATACTCGTTTCACAGAATGAATTCTAACTTATGAGTTCTTTAACCCGTTTGCAGAGTGCCGATCTCTTTAATAATATTATCGATATTAACAAATTTATTGTATTCTAGGTGTTTCTTCGAATTTGTGTTTTCTCGTTTTTTACTTCGAGTTTACCTTGTCTTTTTTTTCACTTTTAATCGTTGTAATATGTTGCATGGAAATATACGATAACCTCGCGTCCTCGAATAATTTGATTAATCGATCTACGTCCGAAACCTTGACAGTGACAATCTTCTCAGATATACAGTATTTGTAGTCGACTATTCTTATCGATAGTCAAAGTGTCACGGAACCGTCGCGATCGCAAGGGACGCGAGATTATCAAGATTCGAGTGTCTCTTTTTTAAGCGATTAACGGTGTTCTAGAATTAAAAGCGTTAGCAAAGCTTGCTCGAAAGTTTAAAGCAAACTGGACTAGATTCGTAGAAATTGGATACGATCAGGGTCGGAAGCATTAGAAAAAGCATAATCTCTGCATCGAGATGAACGCTTGACTTAAGATGTTCTATCGAAAACGATGTCCAACGAAAGCGTTTATCGACGCGTTGCTTACAGCCTCCGACAAACCGGACCTGGGTCTCGAGGAGTTGTCGAGCCTGAACGTCAAGTCCCGGTTCCAAGTGTTCGAGAAGGCTGGTACAGAGACGAACGAGATCGAAAGGTCGCCGTCGCAGATCGCGGTGAAGAGATCTCCTAGTATCCTTAGCAAACTCGCCAAGTGAGTAATTTATTCGATATTTATAGTTAATAGATATTACAGTAGGCTCTTGCTATATTGCCACGAATGCGTCGCGAGGCAACGCGATGCAATATCGCGAGCGCCTACTGTAATTCGAATAAAATATGCAAGGCGCAGCTCGTACGATGGATTTGCTAGCACGACGCATCGGTTATCTGCTGATCAGCAATTTTTTTTTCTTTGCTGGCTGTCGAGTATAGTGGCATGAAAAAGCGAACGAGTTGTCCGTCGATGCTGTCCGCGTGCCAAGCTATCAGAATTCATCGGAATGTTTGTGACTACTTTGCGCGTCTTTTTGTCCAGATTCCAGGCCAAAGGCATGGATATCGGAGTGGCGGATGAGTCTCTGAATGGAATCCCTTACGAAGAGTCGAGCGAGAGCGAGGAGGAAGAAGAGACGGAGGAAACGGACGGTGAGCACAGAGAAATGTTTAATTCGAATCGCAGTCGATGTTTCCGAGTGTTCTTACCTATCTTCAGCTCACTTTTTTCCCTCGTTTTTTACCATTTGCTAGATTAAGTGTCGAGGGAGATTGGGCAACGGTGTCGCGAATCTTTTGCATCCATTATACTAAATTATCTTTGTAAACGGTTTATTTTCATTTTTATAAGCGGTACAGTTTGTTAAGGAACCGTTTATAGTTGACCTTTATACATTTTCTTTACTTTTATTTATGGAATAAACCCGTGCACTTTATCGAAGAAAACCTGGAACATCCTGCACGCGTATCGATAATTAACCGGCTTTAGAAAGTGTTCAAAATTTCAAATGTAAAATATTAATGGGTTTCAGAGGTGGAAAGCGAGATCGTAAAAGCGAAACGCACGACTCGCGAGCGTCCGATCAGTTTCACGAAAATGGACGACATAAAGAATCGTTGGGAGTCGACCAGCCAGCAGGGAAGGAAAGAGGTTCAACGAGAGGCGAGAAAAGAGGAGATCGCTGGCATTCGTTCGAGACTGTTCATGGTAAAATTTGAAGAATCGCTCGCGACTCGATTAAGCCTGATCGTTTCGAGGAAGCGACGATCACGCACCGTTCGAGTTAATTTAGAGAGCATCTAAATCGCCGCGAAGTAGTCCGGGGTAATGGCACCAGACGCAGAAAAACTTCCGAGAGCCGACTGTAATGTAGCGCACGCATTCTCTTTGGAACACGCTCGACGTTGTGCAATAAACACGTGCATGTTCGCGATTATGAACCGGAGTCGAGGAAGACGCCTTGCACCGATCAACCATTTATACAGAAACGATATTTCTCAAACAAATTCGCTGTTGTTGGAGTTGTAAAGTTGGGACAGTAGGATAATCTAGATATTAACTTGATTTTACGCACAATTATTACAATAATAAAAGATGGATACGAAGAGACCGAAATAGAACGATGCGCGAGCGGTAAATTTTAGTTAAAAGATTAATCCTTGAACCATTTTGCTCGAACGTCATCTAAACATCCGAGAAGATCAAAGCGTTTCCGCGTATCTGACCGGAGATCGATTTCTGTTCCAGGGCAAACAGGGTAAAATGAAGGAGATGTACCAGCAGGCGGTAGCCGGAAGCGAGCGCGTGACGAAGATCAATCCAGCGGAGGAGCTACAACACTCGTCGACTCACGCTCGTTCCATCAAAGAACGATTCGAACGAGGCGAACCCATCGCAGCGTCCGACGATGAGACGGACAGTAAACCGAAACCGGAGAAGGCCGACGAGGAAGTGATCGCAGCAGGTGCGTTTCGCCTCGCGAACGGACGTATATTTAGAACCCGTTAAATGTAATTAGCCGTGTGGTGCATCAACGCGTCCAGATCTGCTCGCAGAATTTCCTAACTGAAAGGATCGTGTGGCATCCTAGAGAATCTATGCCAGTAGAAATTCGACATTTTAATACATGGATATAATTAAAATTACTCGTTGAGACTTCTCGGCTTCCTATCGTGTCGGTGATTTCGTTCTAAGTCCATCGCCACGATGGACACTCGAAACCATTAAAATTTGAAGTAATGAATCCACGATTACTGAACTCGACGAATAAAATTTGTATGCGATTAGATTTTACTTTATCGTGATAAAGTAAAGAAAAATTTCATAATTGTACAAAATATGAGTACTCGAATTCCTCTCGAATATGCGAAAAGACTTTGCTCATTCGTAGTCGACCCATTACCGTCCATAATTCTGAACACGAACGCGAATGCACCTATAACGATTTCATAATGGAAGCTTCTAAGAATCCGATCGTCGATCATCGGGAGTGTCCAGCTTTGCGTGTAGTATCCAAGATAAATCGATCGATTGGATGTTGCGCAGGAATCAGCAGGAAGTCTCGGTCGATGTTCCTGGAACTGGACGCTTCGGCGGCGAAAACGGGCCGACCAGTGACTCCAGTGAACCCGAAGACACCGGCAGAGGCACCTAGACGCGCTAGAGACGTAAGTTTCATCTTTCGAGTACTTAATCTATACCAAACCCGTTCGAATTTTCCAAACTACGAAATCGCGTTTGATAAAGTTTAATCGTTAATCGTACGCAACTCGTGCAAACAAGGCATTCATGGGTCGTCAAGTGTCGGACGACGTGGTTCGCAGTTCGGACACCACCGAGGAGGTCCACGTCGAGACTTCGGACATTTCGAACAAATTCAAATTTTTCGAATCCTACAAGGAACCGGAAAAGCAACGGAAACAGTTTCGAATCACTCCTCCGCGCGATGGTCAAGTGAAGGTTCGAAACTCTGGAAGTTGTGTGAAGCGTTTTCGAGTTGAAACCTCGTGTCTGTGTTCTAATAATACCAAGGATTATTTCTGAGTCGAATTAACAACAATGCGCAAGCCGATGAAAATTAATTCGTAATGCAACTGCGTAATGTATCGTTTTAACCCGATTTCACAGCCGGCTTGCCTGTAACACTTTTTACAATTCTTTCTGCATGAATTGCTTCGAGTTTTCGTCAAGAATTTGATTGCATGGTGTGAGTACGAGCTTTCTTAAACGTGAAATTAGACGATTCCTCGAAATTGGCAAATCATCAAAATGGATGAATAACGTTATCAAAGAAGCGATAAGATAAATATTCTTTTGACGACTGTTTTTTTTCGAAATAACTTCATCGACAGACTGAGTAATCTTCTTTTAACAAATGTTTTCGCAAGACAAAGTAAACCTGTTTGTCGTTAAAAATGACGCGCATACGCGTCGTAAAAAATGTACTGTAAAATCCAAACGAGAGTACAGCTCTTTTTTTATGAAATGAAAATTTGAAAATATGGAAATGCATTTGACACGGGATTTGGGTTAAGGGTGGAACAACTTTGTTTACGGATTAATCGTTTAGGTAAGAAAAGCGATCATCGATGGGTCCTCGAAGCTCGCAAAAGCTCGTCGGTGCGAGCTGTGAAGCGCGCAACAGTGCCACTTGATTTCCAGGCTTGTCCTTGAACCCCCTCGAGTGGTCAGCAGCCATACTTTTACCGTTAGTATTCCTACATCCTTCCATTCGTGAAGAGAGCAGGCCGTGCAGAGGCGAGCAACACCACCATGTCTCTCCCAGTAACTCACGAGGGGGAACAGTAAGAGTCGTGGCGTCCTCCTGTTCGTGTGAACGGCATAGCAACCGCCGACACGCTCCCAGTTCGAAGTTTACCGGGACCCACGAAACAAAAGCCTTCTTTCGTCACGGTTTCTCCTCGGTTCTTGTGTCTTCTTTCTTCGATTTTCCTTAACCTCGTGTCTTTTCATGCTGTACGAATCGAACGTTGCCCAGGATAACAAAGTGAGTAAGGATACGCTTATCGGTTATTCCTACGTAAAATAAACGATTTAACGTGAATTAGTTCATTCTCTCTTCTTTGTGGCCTTCTTTCGACAATTTCTCATTCGATTCTTCCGTATTTTTACCGCGTTCGAATCGAACGTCGACGAGGATAATCAAGGGAGCACGATTATTCGTACATAATCGAGCGTTTCTTCCTATTTCACGAAACACGGTATTTTTCGTGGGACGAATTCTTATAGTGATATAATGCAGTGATCAGTGATTTTTGTTAATTCTTCGTTACTTCGAGAACATTAAAAGCAAAATATTTTCCTTGCGAGTGAGTGACCTTTACTAGAAGATTCTTCAGAATGGTGTTTCAAATTTGTGTAATTAAGTAATCCGGATTTCATATATTATTTGATATATTTCCTGTAGTGTTTGGTATCACCGATCATAAATTAAAATATATATCGTCGATGACAGGAAAACATTGATCAAACCTGAAACATTGATAGCGTACCTTCGTATTCATCTCTTTGAAGAATCAGAATGTTCAGAGGCAGCTCTATAATTGAGAATCATTAAATTGGCGGTGTTCAATGGTCGCGGTATCATGGAACATTGGAAAAACGTATAATTTCGTTCAGAAAATTGCCGGCTTTCTAAAATTCGCTTCTTCGACATAACGGTATGGCATTTGTCGATTTACATGTCGTACAAATGCATATATGCGCTTTCCTTTTGACAAAAGTTATCGATCGACTTTTGCGTGAAAAACTTTCCTTCTTTTAAAGAAGAGGGAGATTAAAATCTGATGTTCGAAATATGAAATTTGAAGTAAAATAAAATGAAAATCTTTTGATACTTGTATCGGTGTGTTACACCCACGAGCGGAACGAAAGGTAGATGATAATCTTTTCAATAAGACTGGGTCGCTCTTTTTCTAAATAAAATGTGGCGAAAGATCATTAATAAAGATCTGTACAAGCAACTCGAACTAATTACGTAGCTTTCTCTCACGGTAAATCTATAAATCTGTGATCGTTGTCGAGCGAAACCAACGAGAAACTTTGTTCACGTTAATCTCGACACAGGTAATAGAATATTTTACATCATACACGATCGACGACCTGTCGCAGGTAACGTCGTAAGGTTTGCAAAATGCTTTCGCATTGTCATCACTGTTCCTTGGTTTACCTGCTGCTCAGGTAGAAATCCAAGCACAGACGGTACATGTGCTAAAGCACGTTCGAGCTGACTCAGAGGAGCCGTGATTCGTGGAAACGACCGCATTTTAGTCTGTCCATTTCTCCGGTGTCTTTACGATTTAACTCTTTTACGCACAAAGTAGGTGTGGCATCGCTACAATACCTTCTACCAACGTACTTTATTAAATAAACGAAACAGTCGATTACTCGGAGTATTTTCTTACAAAAATAATATTACTCTAATACCGTTCTAGTGAATTTTGAAATTGTTTGCAAACAAAATAATTAACCATCGAGACGATCGATCGTTAGCGATGTTCATTCGAAACTCTATCCGACAGATGGACTCCCCTGAACGCGAGATCTATCGCGATCCAGACGTGGTCAGAGCCGAGGACAGGGTCGACGAAGTGGTGCACACGGACACCGCCAGGAAGATGCTGTCGATCTTCCGGCAGATGGAAGAGAACGCATGCAAACAGGAGGTACCGAACGGTCCTAAACCTTTGAAACGTTTCACGCCACCGCCAGAAGACAAGTACGCGAAACCATCAGCGTCCGACTCCGAGGAGGAGGAAGAAGTGGAAGGCGAAGAGTCCGAAGGCGAAGACAGTGCCGAGGAAAGGGACCCCAACTACGTACGAGCTTCGGATAAGGTTCGTTTACGTACACATACAAGTCTTCTCGTTCTTATACCTCCAGCCTGTTATTGTTGCCTCTAGCTTTGTGCGAACGCTCGTCGTTATTATCGATATTTCTATTGTTCTCGCGCGAAAAATGGTAGCGTTTATTAACATCGGGACAAGGTGAGCAGACCTCGAGATTCCTGCGATATGAATATGTAGGAGGAGCGTACGGATGTTAATCAAAGAATCGATGTGCTCGACAGAAAGTAAAGGAAAACTGTGTTGCAGGTAGAGGACGAGTTCCTGAAGCAAGCGCAAAACGCGGCACGCGCAAAGACTTTGTGCGCGAAATTCGAACACTGGGAAGAAACGGATGCAAAGACGACGACGTCGAGCAGTCAGAATATCGCAGAAATGGAAATCGCGCAGAATACCGGCGATCAATCGAGCATAGAATCTGCGAGTAGTCTCAGAGCACGTTTCGAATCTCTCGGTTCGCAAACGAGCGAATCTCCGCGCACCCCAAAAGTCAAAGTTAATCGATTCGTGGTGAGTACTCTTTCGTAGATACTTATCTTCACCTTCATTCATCCTTTTCCAAGCAACTCATTGATCATTCACCGAATGAGATTTCTTTTTTGTTTTTCTTTTTTCGTATGGAATAACGTTGAGTTTAATTTCCATTCGCACTGCATACGATAGAAACGTTTTATTGCGTGTTGTTACTTCGTCGTTGTTTTTTTTTTTCGATGTACAGTGTGGCTCGTTTCTCGCATGGTGTGTTTTTGAAACGATCGTTGTTTGTCGAAAGTCTCTGTACACTTCGATAGAGCTTGTTTGACGTAGGAGATAATGAACTTGCTTGAAAAGTGTCGTATTTATTTTTGGAACGAAACGGAGACAAGTTACGTGTAAATTTGTTCGGTACGAAAGTAATTTATAGCGAATTTAATTTTAAGAAGACTGTACGATATCTCTCGAACGAAGTGTATACAGAAACTTCTTTGTTCGACTATAATTACCCCTTTCGCTTTTCGATTGTGTAATACAGGCTGGTGCAAAAAATGAACAATTTTCGATTTAATTTATCTTGGTTAACAAATTGCTAAAGCCGAAGCTTCGAGTCCGTTTGTTTCTTACAATAAATGCAAGTATATTCTGACAACGAGTGAACCATCCTGTATCAGAACGCGATGTACCCGAGTGAAGTTTGCACTGTCTTTGCAACTTATAATTACACTGAATATTATTTGATCTTTCCACGGTAACGAGTAACGTTTCAACGAATCGTATTCTTTTGTGCACGCTAAGTTAATATGATTTTCGGAATGCGTATTCGAATGCACGTTCAAAGAATAACAAAATTTCAAAGATTCCTAAGCACGGCTCCGATACATGGGAGTCGTAATTCGAGTAGAAAAATTGTTTGAACGTGCACGACAATCTTGTGGATTTTAGTTTCGTATTTCGATAGCTATGCGAACTAACGCGAATCGCTCGACAAAAGCATTCGAAAAAGGGGAAAAAAAACAAATTGGACCGCAACGAAAGAGTAAAAATCCTGGGCAGCCGAGAACGGTAAAACAAACTCGGTCCAGTTACTCAGCATGACTAGTTAGCGTGATTCCTGTGGCGTGTTCTGATTGTGTCTGGCATTTTTGGTCTTGAGATTGACGCCTGCAAAAGTGTTGACCGGCTTTCGTTATCGACCACGATCAAGTGATATGTTCTCTGTTGAACGCGAACAGTAAAAGGACACCGGAAGTGGAGGATCTACGAGGCCCAAGCACACGGATTAACGGGGCTTGATGAAGGGACGTACAGATATACAGGCAAACAAAAGATAAACAGACACACAAACGAGAAAATGAACGAATTCGTTGGAATCTTGTGCTTCGAGGGAGCCGACAACACTTCCGCTTCGTTGTCTGGATAATTGTGCGATTTTTACGTTTTTCTCTTTTCTTTTTAGAAGTCATTTGTGACTAGCGTTCTGTTAGCGAATCTAGCGTAGATTTTATGATGTATTTGTATCGTGTATAGCGAGATTCAACGAGAACTCGATCGGAGACGTCGAGCAATCTTTGTTTTATTAACTGTACGAGTCGTGTCGAAAGAGACGTATATCGTGAATATTATGAATTTAACCCTTAAATGCATGATTTTCGAATTTTACCAAAAGTTATCAACTTACAAAATACCTTGAAAGCGGTTCATTCAAATTAAAACGAACAGATGACGCTATTGTGTATTTGATTGGTACGTGGCATATCTGCAACGCTACTCATTGCAGGTTTCCCTACATTTTGTATATAATTTACAAGATTAAAACTGGTATGTTGCATTTATACAACTATATGCATTTAAGGGTTAAGTTTTGCGTTGTAACCCAATGTTTCCGTAACGAGTTCTGGAGAGTCCCACTAATTGGAAGCTTCAACTTCAGCGACTACATAAACGCTTCTTTTCTTTCGCGTACAAGATGGTAGAAAAGTTGTTTCTGAGACGACTAGTACAGATCTAGACGAGTGCATCGAGCAAATCAATCGATAGAATTGAAACTCGTTAGAGTAGTTAAATCTTTCCGTGAGAGGGTATCGCGAGCAGACGCTCCCGCGAATCAATTGAAACCGAGTGCTCGACGTATTCGTATCGCAGAACAAAGTCATTTAACCCCTGCACGACGGAGCGACGATTTAATTTCGATTCAAAGCTTCATTTCATTTTAACACGAAAAACCTCCGTTTTTAATGAAACGTACACACGTAGACCTGGGTCACGATCGATACCGCTCCGTCGTTACGAAGGGTTTAACGGCGTTCTCGCTGAACGCGTTCTTCGCCGTTCGAAGAGTGTTCTTTTCGCGCGTCAGTCGGCTACAGTGTGTATTTCGAACTGCTCTTTTCACCAGGCAAAATTTGTAATAACTTTCCACGAATACACGACAAAGAGGAATTGTACAACAGAAACGTCGCGGACGAATCGACCAACGACGCGAATCGGGAGTTGATTTGCTTTGCATCGAGTGCCAAACTTTCAATTTCCTATACATTACATCTTGGTACACAAAAGTGGAGATATCGATTTACGAAAAGGTGCCAAATCTGTTCGATCTGTGGCAATTTCATTGGTTTTCTATTGGCGTCGTTGGGTGCTTCGTTTTTTTAAGTAAAATCTTTTTCTGTCTCACGAGTGCCAAGCAAAGAAGCGAGAGGAAAACTTCCAATACGTGTACTGTATCAGTGCAAGGTAAAATTAACGATGCGGTTTAAGAAGGACGTTCACGTCGTGAAATCAGAATGTCGGAGGTCCGAATTCTCACGCACTTAGGATGTACATGCTTTTCGAGTACTTTTACAGCTTTTCGCGTGGTACACGTCGGAATTTTAACACACGATTAAGGAACGAAAAGGAGCGAAAGGAGCTGAAACGTTTATTTTATACCTCTGTATCTCGAAGCATTTCACTTTTCTGTCTGAGAAATTGCAATATTTTCATGAAAGATAAATCCACTTCGAATGTACATTTATATAAATTGTTGCCGAAATATAAATTTGTATGAGCTGTCAGAATTCATCGAAGAAATAAAAGAAAAAGGAAAGTGTCTGAAAATGGACTATTTTTAAAGTATTCGATTTTTTATCCTGTAATGAAAGTTTTATACTTTTTTAAGTATTTTTAGACAGCTTTTTATACTTGTTAATCATAACATTTAAGAAAGAGAAATAAAATAAGCAGAACAGAATAAATGAACTACACAAACTAATTGCAAGTTGTATTAATATAAAATTGAATATTTGGAAAAATGTGTCATTTTCAGTGCAGCAACGAAATTACACAGTAAATGAAAGCATTGGTTGCTTCCTAATAATTATTTCGACTTGTCGATGAATTTTCTCGGTTTATACAAAAACACTGATACAATAATTGCATTCAAAGTGTTCACACAGCAGCGATTACAAGTTCCAAAAACAGAGTAGACGAGAAAGTTTATTCGAGCTCCTTGTACGATCCAGCCAGTGAATTGAATGTTCGAAAATTCTCGTTCCTCTAGGAGATATGAACCGAGACTACGGATTAAAGTCAAACTAGAACGCTATCGAATATAGACTTTTTTATAATTTTTATAATGTTCGATGGACAAACGACGCGAGGACAGATAGTCCTTAGGTTTAGAAGAGGTCTTTGTAACTGGCGTTATTCGATATCTGTACATTCGGATGCGACGTAGGCTCCCTTGGGTCGTCTTTGGCTTCTCTCTGGATTCTTTCCGAGTTCTTGCTAGGTTTTCCCTGTGTTCTTCCAAACGAAAGGAGACTCCTTTCGCTTAACCCAGAGGAGCCCACGTGACATCCGCGTGTACGTTAACCCATTGCGTTCGAGTTGGTATTACGAATTATAAGATGGAATTGATCGAAAATTAGTCCTGAAGGTACTAATATGCCGTGCGAATAGATACCGGTATCGTAATCGTTTAAAACGCGTTATTTACTAACGTAATGGGTTAATTCCCTCACAATTACCATCATGGACGCACAGTACCCATTCATATACGCATACACATATAAATCTCTCTATATAAATACATATATATTTATCATTGGTATAGAAGAACAACGTGTATATCGACTCCTTGATCTATTTAGAGCGCACCTTCGGAGAGAGAAAGAGAGAGCTCCTGAAATTGATTTCGATCGTATTTGTTTCGATATCTCTCTCGAAAATCTCTCTTTCTTATAGAGGTTTTGAGAGTTTCTATACTCTGCGAGGACAAATCTTTAAACAGAGTTTCAAATTTCAATTCCAGCAGCGCGAATAAATAAACATTCAACAATGTCGATCAACTTATGAAAAATGATTCGAAGCTCAATTTCAGGGTTCGCGATCTTTTCCTTTTCTGGAATCGATTACTTTTTGCGTGGTGCAAAATTTAATGGCATTAACGATTTTTGTTTAATCAAAAGGGTGAAGTATTTGGTAGGTAGAGAAAGAGAGAAAGGGAGAGAGAGAGAGAGAGGGAGAGAGTGAGAGAAAAAGATTGAAAGGTATGTGTGTATATTCTCTACACGACTTCGTCTATCTTTTATCATCCGTGAAAATCATGATAAAGAGCTTGAACTCGATCGATGGAATTCAGTGCAATAATTTTAAGGGAACATTGTTATCGACACGATTCGTGAACGCGATACGCGCGTTTGTTGTTAATCGAGAGGGATATTTATTAATCTTCGATGAGAAATTAGTTTGTCGACCGATTGCTTCATTCACGGCCTATTTTACACACACGTGCGATGTATTTTAGGTAGGATTTTTTTCGTTAAGTCTTGGATTGTATAATTTTTAGAAAGCGTATATGATATTCATGTTCTTTACCTTATACCTTTTCACATGTAACAATTTATTACGATCATATTTGCAAACGTTCAATAAAAAGGCACATCCTAACGAAAAAAGAAGGAAAACGCAACAAGATTTATGTGACTTTTATGGCGAGATTATATGAAAAATCCGAGTGAGACACTCGTTTACAATTTTCCTTTAAAATTCGTATTTACTGTTTGGTACTTTCAATCGGGGGAAGAAAAATTCCTTTCGAAATCACCTACGAACATTCGTCATCTTATTCCTTCATGAACCCATCACTTTTCGTCCGACGATATTTTTCTTCATTATTTATTTTTTTCTTCCAAAACACCCGTTTATCCAATGCAGGAGATTCAAGCGAGCTGCACGGACGTGTGCGAGAGCTGCGAGAAAAAAGTTTACCCCCTCGAGAAGGTGGAGACAAATAACAAAATATTTCACAAACAGTGCTTTCGGTGTCAGCAATGCAATTGCGTGCTCAGGTAATATTCTCAAACCCTTTTCTGAACAATATTGATACACGCGTATTGATCGTCCGAAGTCTTCTAGATTTCGACTCATAAGTTTCGAGGAATGTTAACGTAACTATAATATTTTACAGGATGGACACGTTCACCTTAAACAATGGTAAACTCTACTGCATCCCGCATTTCAAGCAATTGTTCATCACGCGAGGAAATTACGACGAGGGTTTCGGGGTGGATCCACACAAGAATAAGTGGTCGAGCAGCTCGAGCAATCCGACGAGTCCGTCGCCGATCGCGGTTTCGAACGGCGACCTCTGATTTCTCGCCAATTCCCCTATGTAATTAGACAAAAATTGGAACCCGACAATACGCCTGGTTGTAGTAGAATCCTCGACGAGCGACTACGGTCGGGGTACAGCGAACAAAAAGAAAAGAATAAAAAAAGAACCCGTGGAAATGATGTTCTAGTTCTCCAAAGACGACCGCCAGGCTTAACTTTACGAATCGATCGATTAAGATTGCGAATCGTTCAGCTCCTTTCTCGATTTTTAAACGACTGACCGCTCGTGCGGATCAATACATGCGACGAGAATCGCGTTTTACGATTTTCTTCTTCTTTCAATCTTCTCTTTTCGCTACCCTGTCATTTTATGTATTTTATTTTTACCTCTAGGTCTTATCGACAACGCCCCCTATTATAAATTTCGCTTAAATATTTGTTACAATTATTATTATTAATATTATTATTTTTTACTTGTATAACTCTTGGTATTATTTTATTATATGTGTTGTATAATACAGAATTTCATTGCGCTTTATAAATTTCGTGTACGTTCATTACATTTCCTCGTTACGTTTTAAAAGATGACATCAGTCGAAGAGTTTATCCGCCGAGGATCTCATAAGCGATTCGTCGAGTTTCTGCAGATGGCGAAACGTTCGTGTCGTAGCTATCGCGAGTCGATTTATTACGCGTCCTTTCATCGTTTAGTTTCGTTCGTTTTAATCGGTTACGTGTCAATTATCGTACAACGTAGTTAAAAGGTCTGAACGGATTATAAAACCTATCTTAACGCGGTAGCTAACAGAAATTATTTCAGATATCGAGCGGTTCGTAGCGTTCGATGATATGTGTATCTAGTGATAAACCGCTGGGGATTTTGTGCGCTCTCTGTGGCGGGAAATTGCCAACTCTTTTGAACTTCCTTATTCAAGCATTCCGCTAATAAACTTCTTGGGTAGCTAATTCACAGTGAGTATTCGATGTATATTAAATTATTGCATTTATCGAATACAACCATTGGAAAATTATCAATATTCGAAATATTCGGTGTATCCAAAAATCAATGTCGATCTGTCAACATCGTGTTAATATTAGCTACTTTCCTACGGTTGTATTCAATTTCTGTGAAAGTAAAATATTTCTACGTATATATTCCAGATGGAGATCTGCATCGATTCTCTAGAATCAGCGCGAAACGCGATCGAAGGCGGTGCAGTTAGACTGGAAGTTTGTTCCGCCCTTTCCGAGGGTGGCTTAACTCCCACACCTGGTTTCCTACATAAAATTAAAAGCTTTTCTCCTGTACCCGTTTATGCTATGCTCCGAGTACGAGCTGGTGACTTTGTATATTCGAAAGAAGAAATGGACGTGATGTTGCAAGACTTAAAAATTTTGAAAGATCAAGGAGCCGATGGCTTCGTGTTCGGAGCATTGAAGTCAAATGACGAAATCGATGTAGAATCTTGCAAAATCATTCTTTCTGCTGCTGAACCGTTACCTGTAACATTCCATCGTGCCTTCGACGAAGTCGCTGATCCTTTCGAATCTTTGGACACGTTAATTGCACTTGGTTTCGAGAGAATTCTGACGTCCGGCCAGAAAGATACCGCGGTAGAAGGATTGGAGTTGATAGAAAAACTGGTGAAAAAAGCTGGAGACAAAATTATCGTGATGCCGGGTTCTAGTATAACCACGGATAATATTTTGAAGATAAAAAAGGATTCTGGGGCTAAGGAATTTCACGCGTCAGCCAAGAGTAAGATGTTGACTTTCGCTGGAGGGAACAAAATTAAAATCGGTGCTAGCAAAGAAACTCGTATGCTGGTGACAGACAGGAAATTAGTGCAAGAAATGGTTGAAATTATAACGAACGCGACATAAGTTGATCTCGATGATAAGACACGGGCATTTAAAGCGAGGAATAATTGCCTTCAATTCAGGAACCTGTTTCTTTTCTAACGTTCTAAGCGGATTGTAATAACCGATTATCAAATAACGTTTTAAAACTGTAATATTCTGGTTTTACTATATTTGTTTGCGTTTGTCGAATATATTATTATCCACCAGACATATATTTCAATAGCGACACAATATTTTATTATTTCTTTATTCCGCTTGAAGAGGGAATTGTTATAAAAATAAGTAATTGATTGTAATGTATTAACAGAGGATCGTAAAACCTAGGATCTCCGCAGACCGCAAGGTTTTTAACTTTGCTTAATTAAAAAATAAAGACGATCATCGTTACAAGATAAATCGCTAAATATTATTCAATATTCCACGCGCTATGTGTCTACGAAGTCGTTAAATAATTTATCTCGAAAGAAGCGCAGAAAAAAATCTGCAATATTCATTAATTTTTATGACCTTTTTTTAACGGGTATTGCTGGAAAATTGAGTTGTGTCGTCATTGTAGGATGAAAATAGTTATTTATTATTACGAGCGTAATCAGTTGCATAATCAATGAAATTTGAACGACCATATGTTTCATTTATGATGTTATAAAATTGCGTTTCGAGTTAAAATCGAAGGAAAAAATTAATTAAAACTACCACGCAGAAAGTTCGTCTTTAAATACCGTGATTTGCATATAAAGTACAACTCGATCGTTTATCGGTGTAAAAAGATCTTTATTTGCAATATTTTCCTCGATGATTCTCCCGGGATTCTTCTCGTATTTATTTACCCACAATTTCATGAATCTGGGACAATTTTTCTCAAGATCGAAACTCGAGATACATAATGTTATCGATAATAAGTAATCAAGCTAAGATTAGTGCAATTATAATATATTTATGCTCCTTATTGTTACAAGCGATGACCATGAATAAAATTCTTCAAATCGAGTTCGTGCCGTAACCATCGAGGAGCGCATCACATTCTCCTGCATACTGGGTTCACAACAAAATACCATTATCATTCGCGTTCAAATTGTAATGGTTTCACGGTACGTGCAGCGTAAATGGAATCTGCATTACGTGCTAGAAATTATGTATGAGAGAAGATTGCCTATTCTGTGCCACAGAGAATAGAGAACAATCATCCGATGATTCAGAGTCGATGAAACAACTGGAAGCCCTTCGTTACGTATACAGGCTGTTTTGAAAGTTGCACTCGTCGAGATACGTTTCTTGGAAGCTGTGTTTCACCATTCAAACAATCACGTTCTTTCTTATAATTTTAAGCATAGTTACCTTTAATAGTTACCTTTTAAACATAAGAATTACCTTAATTTACTCTTACTGATCGTACAGTATTTGCAATACCAGGTCGATAATCAAAAAACATTCTAAATTTCGATCATGTTTCCTAAACCGAATTTATCGAATTTCATCTCGTCGCCTCAGAGGCTACAACTTTGAACCGATCGGATGGAGGTAGTCATGAATCAACGATGGCAACATTGCAGCAATGGGAGTATGTTTGCAACCAACTCGAATTTGCAAACGCTTGCGTAACCTCGAGTCGCTGCAACACGAGTCGATTCGTAAGGGGTCCTTGCATACGGAAGATGACGGCGCTGTAGACCGCGCACTTTCGATTTGCGACACAGCCATACCGCAAGGAAAAGTGCGTACGCGCTCGCACATGATCTATCGATTCGAAAACCACTTGTACTGTCGTGCAAGTAAATCATAGATACGCTAACTCGTAGAGTCGCTGTACGAGTTTGACGACAGGAGGGGTATCGTTAAAAGTCGCGGGTTATAGCTCGAACCAACTCACTCGAAATCGTAGAATTTTACATAGTACTGCGTTATATTGTACTGATGCACAATGGCTATTTCTACTGCGTCAACGCGTTATCGGAGTATATGTCTTACCAGTGTCTGTATCTACTGTGGCAACGCCATGAAGCGACAAAACGCATTGCGCTATTCTAATTTATTAAATTTACAATGCATATATCCTTCTTTCTTCTTCCTAAATCGTAGTTTTATAACCTCTCGATTAAAATCCATCATACCACTTTCGACTCGTAGTTTTCATCGTTAAATGTTTATGCTGAACGCGCCTGCGCAATGGCATCCTCGATATTTGAAAATGAAATGAAACTAAACTTCAAATGTCAAACGAGTGCTTTAAAATCACATGTACGAAATTTCAACACTATGGAGAAAGAACGATCGACTTGTAATATGAAAATATTACGTTGCCACGAGCACAATCAATCATAATCGTTCGAAATCACTTCGAGAACTATTCAATTTACATATGGTGGTACAAGTTGAAAGATTTGCGCGAATTAATCGTACAAACAACATGCAATCGAAGTCGGTCAACGAGTTACTTACCTGCGTAAATAAAAAAGGAAAAGGATAAAGAAAAACACGCTGGAATCTGGCACGAAGGATCAAGGGGTCGCTTTTCCTAACCAAGGCTGCTTACGGCGCGTGCGCGTATGGCGTACACTCGAGTGAAACATACGTGCCTTTAGCTAAGAATTAAGCTAAGACCACATGCGCGAGCGACCGAACACTCGCTCAAGTAGATGTACCTCAACACGCGAATGCATAATTCAATTGAACCCGACAGCGCTGGCACACTCGCAAAGATTTTGGTCGAGTGCCATTCCATACGCTAAAGCGATACCAAGAATATATAAGGGCACTGAGCTTTTTTATTCGTTTTTGGCTTTTGAAGAGTGTGAGGATAATTCAGGGGCAAAATCTACGCCCAGAGGAGGTTGGCGAAAGATCAGGGAGAATTTTGCAAGGGTCTTGAGATGAGTTTGAGGAGAGTCCCAGTTCGTAGAGGGTGCTCGAGTGATCCTAGGACTCGCGAATCGAAGAACCAAAGAGTGACTAACCTAGACACTAGCGAGACTACGTTGCAGCCAGGTGTACAGTTGACCGGTGGAGAGTGTGTTCACTATAGAGTCGCGCGCATACCCCTGTAAGGTGCGTCGACCTATAGTGTGTTGGTATGTACGTGGACATTCGGCTGCCGGTAGTCTGCGTATTATTGCCCAACCGAACTCGTCTTTCAGTGCGAGAAAGACGTTCAGACGGTTCGGGCGGTTCTCATCCGTGCACTCCGGTGGTCGTCCTTTCTTCCCCCGCGAACGACAACGTGTTCACGGTAATTAATCACTCAGCTTCTTCTTGTTTCTTTATGCTCGTGGTCTGTGCCGTTCTTTTCCATGATCTTTGACGTCACGGAGGAACATCCGAATTCGGTCCAAATGTCAGACTGAATAGCCTCCGTCGATGAAATCACGTATAATTGCATTCGCGGGAAAATGTAAAGGTTATTATGTATCGTTAACGGTGTAACAGTGGACGCGACATTTTATCGAAAAGCGTTTCTTCCGGGTTTACGCGCGAGATCTTTCGTCGTGCGCAGACATGTTGAAAGGTACGATCGACGTTCCGTGCGTGTGATATCGAGAATTCGAGAGGATCTTTGTTTGAAAAATACGCACGATCGTTGTACATCAGTGTCTCGCATTTCTTTGTGTTCTTTTCTTCTACACAAGCGGCTGCGAGGACTTGTCGATCTGTCATTCGTGCGTCGTCGTCGAGGTAACTTTGTCAATGTTTTAAAATAAGCGCATCGCGCGCCATTACGCGGTACGCGAGAAAACATAGCGAAGGAACAATATCTTTCGACTTGTATTTTATTCGTCTACAGTTCCGGTCGTGTTCGGATTTTTTCTGAAGAAATATCGAAATAATACACGACGATATCGGTGGGTGATGTATCACGGATTTTATGCACGTTACACTCGCGCCTGTCGACTCTTATGAAATCGAGGAAGTGTAACGAGGAAGTAATAGGGAAATTGTTACGAGTATCAAATTCGCAAGTAGACACTTGTTGCATAGCGTGGAACGGAGCAACATTTTTTCTAATTATCTCGAGCCTTAAAAGTTTCCTCGAACTCGAGAAAAATCGGCAAATCGTTAAAACGTATAAAACAAACTTTGTCGTTCGATAATTTTACATAACGGTGAAAACATATGGTGAAAAGGTGTCGATAATTTGGCAAATATGTGCAGCGTTTCGTTGAAATTCGTGTGGACCCGTTTTCTCGGTCAAAGTAACAGTCGTCGTTTGTTAAAAATCGTGAAAGTCAAGCAGATGGTCGAGAGATTTACGAGTGTTCTCGTGTGATCATCGAGTGACCCACAAACATATTTACCGGTGGATCGTACAGGGTTTTTCAACCCGATCGTCGACGATGCACTTTCGATTTTTCGAATCGATACTGGCAACGTCGAGTCGAGTTGAACGATCGGGATATTACGTGTTCAGCACGAGGATGCGTGTTTCGTGTAATCGAATTCACGCGTCCACGTGACTCGACGCAAAACGGAAAAGGCAAGCACAATGATCCTCTTGCGCACGGATTGCATCGTTGCGTCTAACGGTACCTACATCCACTTCTTTTTCTCCCAGCATTTCTCTCGGTCGCTGATCTTCCAGATTAGTCGAATCTCGTCGGAACGTTGCTGACTTTTACCGGTTTTATGTAAGACGAACGATCGGAAGGGAGAATCGGTGGTACGGTAGGAATAGTAATTAAAGTTCGTGCGGTGTGACGCATGCGTAGCACTTTCACGCAACGTAGCCGCGTAAACCGCGCGAATTGCTTGCACCGACCGCGATCGCTCCACGTACACACATATTAATCCTTCATACTTAACGAGTCCCATAAATGGACACAAGTACTCGTTTTACGACAATTAACCACGGTATCAGATAATCTAGATAGAAATAAAACGGAAAAGTCATCGAGCCACGCTAAATTAAGCAACAACAAATGCTCGAAAGCGTTCTGCATAAAAGTGCGAATTCTTCGCTTTACGATCAAGTTAAATGTTGCAGTTATGAAAGTTATAATTGCCACACCGTAAACGCGTATATTTTTCTTGCATTTTACTCGATTGTCAACGCGTCTGTGTTCTGGGCTCCGAGCAACGTTGTCGTCGTTTACGACGGATCAAAGTGCAACGCATCAAAATGTTTGAAAGCTATTAAGTTGTACCGCTGCAAAAGATTAGAGCGTCAGCTGTAAGGGTTTGTTGACTTGTTCCGAGTCCTTTCGCAAATGTCCTAGGTTATTCTTTGTCTCGTAGGTTATCTCGCAGAGCGGCCATCGTTCTGAGCGCACTTTGTATTACGAGCACGTGTGATGGAGCAGAAAAGGCTGGGTGGTTGTCGCGATTTCAACAGATTGAAAAGAATTTATTAAACAGGAAGTCGAACGTGAATTTTGTTCACTCGACCTCGTCTTCCCTTTCGTCGACTTTCTTACCTCTTTGTCCTTTTTCTTCGTTCGTTATCTAGTAAGTCGAACCGTTCGTAATTATTTTCGCAACTCTCGCCACTGTAATTCTCGAGCGTTGCAATTTGGAAATTAGCATTGCTCGGAGAGAAAGATGGAGAAGGATCCTCGTTACGTTAGATGCGAATGGTAGAGTGATTCGTTGGAATTTGTAAATCGTTTAACTCGACGTTAGAACTTTGATAATCTGGTGAGATGATAATAAGCGTAAAGACGCATTATTAACTACGAAGATATTTTACTCGTAACGCTAATTACGTTGGCGAATTAAGTCGCGCAGTACTGTTGCAGAATATTAAACGTACGAGCGTCGACCTTTTACCGCGAGCATTTTCAAGACACTTCCGGTCAGAGCATCGGAAGTTCTACTTTCTTGGGCGGCCGGTAACGAACGTTTTAATACGTACCGTAACGATTATCCAGAACAATTAGTCAATGCGACGAGTTTATCATCTTTTGATAACTCGTAATTGTACAAAATTTCTTTCTAATTATAATGCATTACGAGACAGGCGTTTTCGAAAAATAAACTCCCGAGATTTTCCAAATAATGTTGTAGTAACAATTTATACTCGTCACCTATTTACATATTATTATGCAAGTCATGTCATAACAAGAAATCATTAATCAGAAAAAAAAACTAAATGGCTAGTTATTATTCAAATTTATCGATTAATCAAGTCTTGTCCTATATTAGAATTAACTATTGTACGTCAATAACGTCCATCGAATTTTAAATTCAAGGAAGTTAGGCGCGTTCGCGTTACCCGGAATGGATGAAATTTTATTGGAATTACTTGTCTGCCAGAAAATATCCAGATTTTTATTTCTAGTCCGAGAATCCGTGTTGTATCCGACGAACTCGATGATTGAACACCGTGTCGAGATTTTTTCTCGAATGGTATCTTTTTAGTTTTCGGAGACTTTATAGGAAGATGTATAAAAAGGATCAATACATAATTATTTATTACACGCGAAGCAATTGTTATTTTTACCGTATTCTATAATCCTCGTGAAACTCTTTTTTCTTTCTAAAAAATATATTTACCACGTAACTTCCGATAATTGTGTATTCTTGTTAGTCGTTTGCCTTCATTTATTCATGTTTTTTCCTTTATGCCCGTCTACGAGATCAATGCTAACTACTTCTCGCGAAACTCGATTCATCCTCGCCTTGACATTAATTAGTTTGAGCTCGATATTCATCTATCAGGTCGTTTGAAATGTTTGTACCTACCCAGGCATTCGGTAAGAATTACACAGTCTAATTTGTTCACGCACTGATTACGAATCTGTAAACCATATTCCTCCGTTGCCCTCGATTTTCGAGAAATTTAACTTCGAAAACGAATGATATTTTTCACGATTAAACAAATGACGTTCGACTCGCGTACATTTCCCTGAAGGCATCGATTTGAAAAGTAGCACGAATCATTGTGAGCAAGTACCACGCGCAATAGGCCCGATTACTCATCCGGAACAGTCGGTTCCCTTTTCCCGAGTTTTTCTTTCGTGGGAATAAACTGTTACACGCACTTCCGGCGTGCAGCGAAACAAAG